AAGAAAGTGTTGTTATACTTTCTTGTATCCATCAAGCCTTGTCTTTGGCTTGGTAAGACTACTCTTGTTGTACTCATCTTTTTCATATAATGAAGATTGATCTTTGTTTTGTGGACGTAGGCATAAATTGCCAAACCACATAAATTCTTGGTGTCCATTTTCTACTTTACCTTGTGCATTCTCTATCTTGTAGTACGGACATTCCTAACAAATGGTATCAGAACCAGGTTGGCTCGTACTACGAGATGGAAGGAAGTGGCACTATGATCAAACTCACCAACTTCAAATGGGTAACATGGAAGCCAAGGATGGAGGACATTCTCTAGTGCAAGGATTTGCATTAGCCAATTGAAGGAGATGCCGCTAAGCCCGAGAGTATGTCCGATGTTGAGTGGAAGAAGATGAATCACAAGGCTATTAGCACAATTAGACAATGGGTGGATGATAGTTTTTTACACCATGTGTCTAATGAAACCAATGCTCGCAAGTTTTGGACGAAGCTTAAGTCATTGTTCGAGAAGAAGACCCCAGCCAAGAAAGCCTTCTTGATCAAAGAGCTCATCAATGTAAAGTATAAGGATGGTTTAAGTGTAGCAGAACACTTGAATAATTTCCAGAATATCATCAACCAGTTGGCTACAATGAAAATGACGATCGAGGACGAGCTACAAGCGCTCTTGTTACTTGGATTCTTGCCAGACAGTTGGGAGACCTTTGTGGTGAGTATAAGTAACTCTGCTTCTAATGGTGTTCTTTGTGGTGAGTATAAGTAACTCTGCTTCTAATGGTGTTCTTACTCTTGATAATGTTAAAAATAGCATGCTCAATGAAGAAACAAGGAGAAAGACTTCTGACACAGATAGCAGCCAAGTATTTGTCACAGAGAACCACGGAAGAAGCAAGAGTAGAGGGCCTAGAGGTCATGTCAGGAGTCCTAGCCGATCCAAGTCAAGGTTCAGGGGTACATGCCACCATTGTGGTAAAGAATGCCATATGAAGAAAAAATTTCGAGTTTGGAAGAGAGAGCAAAGGGAAGGAAACAATCAGAAGAAAGATGATACTGGCAATACCACCGCTGTCATATGTGGTGATGTACCAGAAATATTGTCTGTTGGTAAATGTCTGCATATGGGCAACTCTGACAGAGACATTGAATGGATCTTTAACAATAGAGCTTCCTTCCATGCTACGTCCAAATGGGAGTTCTTCAGTACATACAAAGAATGTGACTTTGGCATAGTGAAGATGGGGAATGAAAGCTATTCCAAAATTCTTGGAATTGGTGATATCTTCTTAAGAATTAATCTCGGCTGCCAATTGATGTTGAAAGATGTGAGACATATTCCTGATATACGTCTTAATCTGATATCCATCGATACCCTTGATTAACAAGGATATTATCACCATATTGGCGAAGGAAAATTAAAGCTTACTAAGGCTTAATAGTGGTAGCAAGGGCACGACTTTGTTGTACGTTGTACCGGTCAAATGCCAAGGCTTTGAAAGGTGAGTTGAATGCTGTGAATGAGTCATCTCTAGACTTGTGGCATAAGAGGCTAGGCCACATGAGTGAGAAAGGCCTACATGTTTTGGCAAAGAAGTCTCACATTCCCTTTGCCAAAGGTACGTCGTTAAACTAAGAAGAATTAGTTTTTCTGTTCCATCTACAAAGAAAGGAAATTTGTTAGATCTTGTTTATTCAGATGTGTGTGGTCCTATGGAAGTCGAGTCACTTGGAAGAAATAAATATTTTGTTACTTATATTGATAATGCTTCACGAAATGTCTGGGTGTTTTTGTTAAAATCCAAATACCAGGTGTTTCAGACATTCCAGGAGTTCCATACCATGGTGGAGAGGGAAACTAGGAAACCTCTCAAGTGCCTTCGTAGCGACAACGGCGGGGAGTACACATCTCACCAGTTTAGAGAGTATTGTGTGAAACATGGCATACGTCATGAGAAGACAGTTCCTGGAACTCCACAACATAACGGTGTTACTGAAAGAATGAACCGAACCATCATGGAGAAAGTCAGGTGTATGCTGAGGATTGTAAAGTTATCTAAGCAGTTCTGGGGTGAAGCTGTAAAGACAGCCTGCTATTTGATCAACCAATCTCCATCAGTACCATTAGGTCTTGATGTTCCAGAGAGAGTATGGACTGGTAATGATAGATGTGCCAGACCATGAGATTGCTGATCAGGGGGAGCTTAGTCAAGAAGAGCAGATTCAAGGAGAACCCAATCAGGGGGAGCCTTCAACCCCGCAAGAAAATGAAGATCACGTCAGAAGATCTAGCAGAAGTCGAAGACCGTTTACCAAGTATTCTTCATCAGAGTATATCATGTTGACTAATTATGGAGAGCCCGAAACTTATGAGGAGGCCAAAGCTCATAACAACAGTGATAAATGGATGAAGGCAATGGAGTCAGAGATGGATTCCTTATTAAAGAATGATACCTATGAGTTGGTGGAGCTTCCAAAGGGAAGAAAGGCATTGAAAAACAAGTGGGTGTTCAAATTGAAAAGGGACGACAACATGACAAGGTACAAGGCTCGTTTGGTTGTCAAAGGTTTTGGTCAAAAGAAATGAGTTGACTTTGATGAGATTTTCTCACCGATGGTGAAGATGACTTCCTTTCGTGTTATCCTTGGTATGACAGCAAGCATGGATCTTGAGCTCAAGCAATTAGACGTTAAAACTGCATTTCTCCACATCAACTTAGAAGAGGGGATATATATGAAGCAACCCAAAGGCTTTGAAGTCAAAGGTAAAGAAACTTTGGTGTGCAAGCTCAAGAAAATCTTATATGGTCTTAAGCAGGCTCCAAGACAGTGGAATAAGAAGTTCAACTCATTCATGGTGAGTAATGGGTACAAGAGAACTCATGCTGACTCTTGTGTCTATATCAAACAATTTTCTGAAGGTAAATTCATCATTTTATTGCTTTATGTTGATGACATGTTGATTGTCGGTCAAGATGCTTCTATGATTAAAAAGCTCAAAGAAGAGTTATCTAAGTCTTTTGACATGAAGGACTTAGGGCCAGCCAAGCAGATTTTGGGCATAGAGATAATTCGTGACAGAAAATCCAAGAAGTTATAGCTGTTACAAGAAAAGTATGTTGGACGGGTGCTTGAAAGGTTCAACATGAAAGCAGCCAAACCGGTAAGCTCACCTTTAGCCAATCATATCAAGTTGAGCAAAGAGTCGTGTCCAAAAACATATGAAGAAAAGGAGAAAATGGAAGTTGTTCCCTACTCTTCAACGGTATGAAGTATCATGTATGCAATGGTGTGCACACGGCCAGATATTGCTCATGCAGTAGGCGTAGTGAGCAAGTTTCTCTCTAATCCAGGGAAAGACCCTTGGGAAGCTGTTAAGTGGATTCTCAGATATTTAAAGGGGACTTCTAAGATGTGCTTATGCTTTGGTGGTTCCAAACCAATCTTGGAATGATCTACAGATGTTGACATAGGAGGTGACCTGGGTGGTAGAAAATCTACATCTGGGTACTTGTTTACTTTTACAAGGGGAGCCGTGTCTTGGCAATCCAAGTTGCTTTGTCCACAACTGAGGCTGAATACATAGCCGCTACAGAAGCATGCAATGAGTTGTTGTGGCTGAAGCGGTTTCTCCAAGAGTTAGGTTTGAAGCAAAATGATTATGGCATTTATTGTGATAGTCAGAGTGCTCTGGATTTGAGCAAGAACACTACATATCATTCACGCACTAAGCACATTGATATTCGTTATCATTGGATTAGAAAAGCTATCGAGAACAAGTTACTACAACTGAAAAAGATTCATACCGATAATAATTCATCAGACATGTTGACAAAGGTAGTCACAAAATCAAAGTTGGAATTCTGCATTAAGGCTGCTGGGATGGACTCCAGGTAACTTGGAGTCATGATCGGAATTCCTCCCTCATAGACTGGAGGGGGAGATTGTTGGGTCCAGCCCATGATGAATGACATTAAAAGTCCAACCCATGATGAATGACATTAAAAGTCCAGCCCATTATAAAGGATGGATGCTAGAAAATTCTAGCATTTTTTATAAGCAAATCAAATGCCAAGGAACTAGAAAAATCTAGTCCAAACATGCATGTCGGTGGAGTGCATTCATAAGCTAGAAAGTTCTAGCTGTTTGAATAATATTGAGGCTGTCATGGAAGCCAAGTCAGTGGGCTTGTGTATAAGTCGGCAAAACTCAATTATAAATAGGGGTGCATGTGTGTATCATGAGGTGTGAAACCGAAGTACGAGTGTTCCACTCCAAGAGTGAGGGTTATAAGAGTTGTTCCACTTCAAGTTTGAGAGTGAGAGTGTTCCATTACACATTGTGTGTGTGAAGCTTAGTGTGAGAGAAAGTGTTGTTATACTTTCTTGTATCCATCAAGCCTTGTCTTTGGCTTGGTAAGACAACTCTTGTTGTACTCATCTTTTTCATATAGTGAAAATTGATCCTTGTTTTGTGAACGTAGGCATAAATTGCCGAACCATATAAATTCTTGGTGTCCATTTTCTACTTTACCTTGTGCATTCTCTATCTTGTAGTACCGACATTCCTAACACCTAAGATGCCCAATTCCTCATACGTTCTCTATGGTGCTCGCCTTCCAATATATCTAGCAGCGATTAGGTTCGGTTGTGGTGCATAATTACATTTTTTTCCTCAAACAATTGGCATGTGCCATGTACATGACCAAATTGGATAGAAATTCTCAAATCTAATGTCAGAAGATAAATTGAAAATTATAAAAGTTCAGGGGGTAATCGGTTAAATTTAAAGTACATGGATGAAATTGATAGTTCCTTAAGTTTAGGGAAAATCGGCAAATACCTCACTGTAGGAGTTTTCACTCGTTACTCCATAAAATTGATCATCTTTCTTAAACATTTTGATGCGGATCAGGAAGCGCTCACATCAACAATAATACAATGAACAAATAACAAAAGTGGATAAAACGCAAGGAATCGTTGTCGTTATTATTAATTCAAAAGTCATCCTTAACTCTAGTTACATAATGCTGTAATAGAAAAAATGACATAGTGTTCTAGAAAATTAAAAATACATTGGGAACGTACTTAATTTCTTTGTCGTATTAGTAATTATGAAAAATAAAATAAAAAACATAAGTTAATACATAATAAGAAATATAATCACTCAATTTTTCTGCATCAGATTTGTTTTCTGCATCAGATTTGCATGGCGCAAGAGGCTTCCCGCACAACCCTTTGTTTCCTGCATAATATATTTTTCAGAAAGTTACTACACAGTACACATCCAAAAACTAATGAAATCTCAATTGACAAAGTTTTGATACAACTAATGATTTTATCTTTTTATCGATTAGCAGGGTGCATTTAAACTTGAGAATTTTTTCAACATTAAAAAGAAAAGTATTACTAAACGAAGCACTAACCGCAGGTTATTAATTTGCTTACCCACAAAAACGCTTGCATCGAAATTGCTTAGGCTTGCCGGTATAGGACCCTCGAGCCGATTGTATGACACATTCATAGTCTTCCATGCATTTCGATTTTGTGGAAAATTTGGTAGTTTCCCACTGAATTGGTTTCCCCGAATATCCATTTCCACAATCTTAGTCAATGCAGCCAGCGAGTTTGGTATTTTACCCATGAATTCATTCCCATCCAGATAAATTTTCTTCAAGGAATTCATGCCAACAAAAAAATTATCTGGGATTTCACCATTGAATTGATTGTACGACAAGTAAACTGATGTAAGTGAACTAAGTTTGTTCACACTAGGGATAGGACCTTCAAAGCTATTGTTCATGAAGCTTACGGTTTTCAGGGCAGACAAATCCATAAGTGTGTCTATATCGATTATCCCCAGAAGACCCATGTTTGTTAAAGCCAACCCGAACACATTGCCGTCGCCATCACAAAGCAAACCTGCCCAGAGGTTGTGTGTACCGTTGCAGGGAGCTGTGGCGTTAGTCCAGTTGTCCAAAGCACTGTCGTTGGATAGAAATGACTTGAACTTGAGGAGGGTGGCTGGCTCGGTCGGATCTGAAGACGAAGCAACGTATGATACTACTAAGAAAATTAGCATGAAAAGCCAGTGATGGTGATCATATGATGCTTTGTGAATATGTGCCATCATAAAAATTAGGGTTTTTTCGTTTGGAAGCTAGGGTTTGATAGAAGAAGAAGAATGGAGGGATGGAAAATATGGGATTAGGTTAAGTGGATTTGATGACAGAAATAGAGTAGGGGAAGATGTAAAGGTAGAAATAAAAGATTTGGGGGTGCAAGAATGACAAGGTTCATTGTTCCCTGTGAGGGATTATGAGCTGGGTTGAAAGCCAGCATTAATATTTTAATTAAAAGATTTGGATTTGATTTTCTTGGCAATATTAAATTAAACGGTTTTGTTTATTATTTGGCTTTAGCTTTGTGTGTGCTGTTGTTGAGTTTCTGTTTTGTTCTTGTTAATGGTGTTGGGGAAGTGTTTCATTCCGTTAATTGCAATTTCACCATTGTATTAGCCATCGACCGGAGTATTTTTTAAGGAAAACTAATGAAAATGACTTGAAAGTATTGGGTTTTAAAGATAAGGACAAAATAAATGGTAAAGTGAATAGTATCAGGATTGACTTTTTAGTGTAAAAATGTGGTTTTTCGTTAAAGTGAACAGTACCATAAGTTTTTCATTAAAGTTTCCTCTTTTTTATTGTGTGACCAAATCATCATCCCGATTTAACATGGATTCTCACTAATTATTTGCGAAAATTTTGGTTCTTGTTCCTGGTATTGAACATAATTGATTTAAAGATTTGGATTGAAAGATAAAATATTAAATTTTAATATTAGTTAAAAAATTTAATCATGATAACTGTTTATCACCAATTCAATGATTGTTTGCGTAACATTTTTCCGTTTCGATAATTATTCGTCATTCCTTTTGTCATTAGTTTAGGACTATTATGGCTGTAATTATTATAGGGCTGTTATGGTTGTAATATTTGTATAAATGTTGTACTGCTACACGTTTGGTGATTAAGAAATAATTATTTTTTACACGGTATCAGAACCGAGATAAAGATGATCTATATCCCATTCTCCCGTCTTCGTTTCCCTCTTCTGGTTTTAAACAAGCTCTAGCTTCCATTGTTGTTCCATCTCTCTCTGGCATCGTCGTCTTGGCCATCTATCCGATCACGTTCTACGCAAATTAGTTTCTCAACATGGGGCTCGTCTTTCTTTATCTTCCAATAAATGTAGCCAGTGTGCACTAGCTAAGTCAATTCGTCTTCCTTTTTTTGTCTCATGATCATAGTGCAAGTACTCCATTTGAATTAATACATTCCAATGTTTGAATGTCACATGTTCTGTCTGTTCCTGGTTTCGCTATTATGTACTTTGTAATGATGATTTTACTGGTTACACTTGGATCCTTCCACTGTGACAAAAATATGAAAATTTCTCTCATTTCTCTCAATTTGTTGCTTTTGTGAAACCAAATTTTCCTTATCTCTTAAACAATTCTAAAGTGACGGGGGCAAAGAATTTGATAATTTGGATGTTCAAACAATTTTGTAACGCTAAGGGCATTTTACATCATTACTCTTGCCCACATACACCCTCAACAAAATGGCCTTGCTAAACGCAAACACCATCATACAGCTGATACAGGTCGTACTCTCCTCCTCACAGCTCAAGTCCCGCTCAATTTATGGCCTGAAGCCTTTTGTACTGCTGTTCATTTAATCAATCATCTTCCAACTTCTGTCATCCAATGGGTTTCTCCATTTTTCAAATTATATGGCAAACATCCTGATTATTCCCTTCTCCGGACCTTTGGCTATGCTTGATTTCCATACCTTGGATATTGTACAATTAATGAATTACAACCTCGTTCTTTAGCTTGTATTTTTGTAGGGTACAATGATCACTACCGAGACTACCGGTGTCTCCATAATCCCTTTGGTCGTCTGTACACATCTCGTCATGTTGTGTCTCATAAGGACTCATTTCCGTGTGATGATGCTGCTTTTCCTACGCCCACTGTACCAGAATTTGCATTTGTTCTCGATGGGCTTCCACGCCTTCACTCACACAGTGGACCTGCCCCACCTCTTATAGCCACCAGCACAAGTTCGGATCTCCATCCGAGTACTCCCATGTCCCCCACATCAGTTGTAACCGCTCCTCCCCCACACCACTGCTCCTGCAGCCGAGTCCAATCTAGGAGCCGCACAACCTGTCGCTGCCGAGATTGTTCCAGGCGCTGACCTTGCTGCTGCACCACCCACTCCAGAATCTACTTTTGTTGTCACTTATCCCCTTGTTGTCACCAAATCGGTTTTTGTGGCCGAGCCTACTCCTTCCTCCATCTCTAGTCGCACCAGTCCAATTCGTACGCGTTCTCGGTCTGGCATCTTCAAACCAAACCCCAAATATCAGTCAAACTTATATGTTCGCTATCTGATTCCTCTGGCTCTCATGGCCACAGTTGACACTGAAATGGAACCCAGATGTTACACATAGGCGTCTAAATCTCCTAATTGGCAACAGGCCATGCTTGAAGAGTTCAATGCTCTTCTTCAACAGGGCACTTGGTCTCTTGTTCCTCCTTCTCCTCGACATAACACACTGGGATGCAATGGGTTTTCAAGGTAAAAAGGAGGTCTGATGGCTCCGTTGAAAGATACAAAGCACGTTTTGTTGCTAAAGGATTTCATCAACAGCCTGGGGTTGATTATTTTGATACGTTCAGTCCTGTCGTCAAGCTGACCGCTATTCAAATAGTTCTGAGTATTGTTGTTTCTTGTAGCTGGGTAATTCGTCAGCTTGATGTAAAGAACGCGGTCAGGAGAATTCTATATGTTGCAGCCCCCTGGTTTCACTAACTCTCTTCGTTCCAATCATGTTCGTTAGATTCATAAGGCGATTTATGGTCTGAACAAGCCCCCCCCCCCCCCCCCGGGGCGTGTGGTTCCAGTTCAGTTCCTTTCTTGTTCGTGTTGGTTTCTTACAAAGTTGATTTGATTCGTCAATGTTTGTGTATCAGGATGGTGCTAATATGATGATTTTACTACTTTATGTCGATGAAATTGTGCTTACGAGTGGTAATCCATCTCATATTTCAGCATTTATCAACTCTCTTGTGTGGATTTGAAGTTAAAGATTTGGGACCTCTCAATTATTTTCTTGGCATGGAAGTGGCTCAGTTATCTGATTCTGTTTGCCTTACTCAAAATAAATATACTGTTGATCTCCACAAGAAAAGTAATCTTCTGGAATGCAAGCCTGTTTCGACTCCCATGGCCTCACGAACTTCTGCTTCACGCACTGATATAAACAAAACACTATAAAGAGAATATTCATTGGAGGGAGGTATAAATGGGCCAAACAACAAACTTTAGGAAAAAGATCTTTTAGATCTCTTTCCTTTTTTTCTTTTTTTCTTTTTTTTTTAAATTCCCTAATATCGTATCGTAATTTTTTTTACTATACATCGTATATACCTTTATTTATACCTTATTTATCTTCCCCAAGTGGATTACCTTGAGTCGCACATACATTACGTCAAGCTAAGACTAACTAGTCAATGATGACCTTCTATGGATTCGCCTATATAAGCCACAGCTAAGGTTGCAAAAAATAAGAGCTTGAATACCGCTTGTAAATAATCCAAGGAACATGACAGGTATAGGAACTACTGAAGGTACTAAAGAAACAAGAACAACCACTAATAATTCATCAGCTAAAATATTTTCGAAAAGTAAAAAACTAAGCAATAAGAGTTTTTGTGAAATCTTCTAAGATGTTAATGGGTAAAATGATTGGAATACATCTCTTGCTGATCCTACGTCATATCGTCAACTTGTGGGTGCTCTTCAATATCTCACAATTACTCGCCCAGACATAGTCTATGTGAATGTTTCTCAATTTATGAGTTCTCCCAGTGATACACACTTTGAAGTTATGAAACACTTTCTCCATTATCTAGAAGGCACCCTTGGTCAAGGTTTATTAATTACTTCCTCACTCCACTCAGTCTTCCATTCTCATAGCTTACTCGGATGCTGATTAGGCAGGATGTCCAGACACACGTCGATCGACTACTGGATACTTTTTTTTTTTTTGCCCAATCTCATTTCCTGGAGTGTTGAGAAACAACGCATTGTCTCTCAGTCCAGTGCTGAGACTGAATATAGTACTCTCGCATATGCTTGTGCTGATACTGTTTAGATTCAAGGTCTTTTACATGAACTTTAGTTCACTCTCTCTCGGCTAGTTGTTCTTAATTGTGACAATCTTATTGCCACTTACATGACGGTCAATTCTGTTTTCATTCTTGAATCAAACGCATTGGAAACGATTATCATTTTTTTTTTAGAACGAGTTGCAAATGGCAGTCATCGAGTCCAATTTATTCCTTTTACCCACCAACTCGCGGATGTTTTTACCAAAAGACTTCCCTCAGATCAATTTCATCGTCTAATTTCCAAACTTGTCTTCTCACCGACGTCAAGTTTGCGGGGGAGCGTTATGGAATGTAAACACGGAAATTCCTGAAACAAACAAGACAAGAACACGTGTACAAAATAATATTTTGTATTAATGATTTAGGGGTTACAATCTCTCTTAAATTTGATCCTCTGATTCGATCTCTGTAAGGTGTTGATTTGTGGATTGTGATGCTGATCCAAGGGTCGTCGAGGCTTGATCTTGGATGAACGGTTGGAAGTTTCTTCAAAGGGCCTTTTGGGCTTGATCTTGAAGATTGATGGATGAACGAATCTTCAAGGGCTTTTAGGCTTGATCTTGAAAAACTGTTGATGAACGGATCTTCCAGGGGCCTTTGGGGCTTGATCTTAATGTACAGTTGATGGATAAATCTTCAAGGGCTTTCGGGCTTGATCTTGAAGAACGGTTGTATGTGTGGATTTGTTGATGTTGTTGATCCAAATGACTGTTGGGGCTTGATCTTAGGATGAACGGATGATGAACGATGAACACTTTCTTCAAGGGCCGTCGGGGTTTGATCTTGAATCGGTGGAAGTTCCTCCAAATGGTCATTGGGGCTTGATCTTGAAGGTTGGGTTGACGAAGAACGAAGAGAGCTTTCTTGATCCTTCAGGATTTGCTTGG